ATTGAATCAGCATCATCTGTTATCACCTTGGTGATGGTGTTGGTATTTGTCTTTTGTCTTTTCTTGTTTGTTTTTTGTTTAGTTTTTTCCATGAAACATTTTTACACCGTTTATGATGTGTATAGATTGGATACTCTCTGATATTCTTTTAGGAATAAATTAATTGATAGCATTTCCAAGACATTGTCTTAGGTGACATGGATCCCATTATAGTAAATGTTATGTTGATACAGCAATTGAAGTGGTTTCTCAAAAACGCCTCTTTTTGCTGTATTGGAATCTTGGTAACACCTCTACATCTCACTGATAGACATATCACTGACATCAGGTGCTGTTGTGCTAAAAATGTTAACAGGTATAATATTTATATTTGTTATACTTTGTATAATAATGATAGATGAAATAGTAACACAGTTAATCTCTCTAGTGTTTTGTTTTAAAGATATATGATTTAGATATATACCGCCTTTGTTCACAATGGTATGTAAAATTACATTCTCTTTAAATGTTAAAAATACTCCTTTATTCAAAATCTCTCAATCTATTTAGAATAGTTGATAATTGGAAATATGACATTCTTCTTTCTTTGTCCTGTTAGGGAGAAGACAACTTATTCCCTAAGTTACAATAAGTAAATATAATAACTACAGTTATTAGTAGCTTAAAATACCAGAAACACCAAAAAATTGTTTTAAAAACATTTTTTACCAAGATCTGACAGCCATTGTGGAAAGTCACGTTCGTGAGATTGGATGCTTAGCAAGATGAATCTTATTTGTTTAAAAGGACTCTCCAATGCCAGCCAAACAAACCGTTTTCCTGGCACTGCAGGTCCCCTTTCCCTCCCACCCCCCATCCCAGGTTGCTTTAGGGGTTAAAATGCCTTCAGTGACTTACGTTTATCCTGCGCCGATGTCCCTCGGCGCTGGTTCAGGGTCCACCCACGCTCCTCCCCCGCGGACGTAATCTAGCGGGGGAGACCTATTGAGCATGTGCGACCTGCAGCGGGGAGAGACCTAATGCGCATGCGCTACAAATGCTGCGCACGCGCATTAGACCTCACCATAGGAAAGCATTGAAAAATGCTTTCAATGCTTTCCTATGGGGATTTCAGCGACGCTGGAGGTACTCACACAGCATGAGGACGTCCAGAGACGCTATAGCACAGAAAATCTGTGCTATAAACCAGGGAGTGCCCTCTAGTGGCTGTCTAGTAGACAGCCACTAGAGGAGGAGTTAACGCTGCAATGTAAATATTGCAGTTTATGAAAACTGCAGTATTTACAGTTGCAGGGTTAAGGGTAGTAGGAGTTGGCACCCAAACCACTCCAATGGGCAGAAGTGGTCTGGGTGCCCGGAGTGTTCTGTTAAGTATATTTTTTAGCGGCTGTTGAGTGTAGCTTAAGATGATTTGAATTTTTTAAATTATTTCTAAAAGTGAGTTAAGAAAGCACTTAGATACCATATTGAAGGTATTTATATTTTAACTCTACCTTTGTATAAGTGGTTTTAACACTAATTTTTTTATATAATAATAAATATCAGAATCTGTTATAACTATAACTGGTTTAAGTAGGGGTATGTTACAATCAGAATATGAATTAATAATCATATGTATGATATATTGATTGAGCAATCAATAGACTTGGCAGGATCATTACCACAAAGTATATGTACCTTTAAAGGACCACTATAGTGCCAGGAAAACATACTCGTTTTCCTGGCACTATAGTGCCCTGAGGGTGCCCCCACCCTCAGGGACCCCCTCCTGCCCGGCTCTGGAAGGGGGAAAGGGTTAAAAACTTACCTTTTTCCAGCGCTGGGCGGAGAGCTCTCCTCCTTCTCTCCTCCTCCGTTCCTCCTTCTGGGCTGAATGCGCACGCGCGGCAAGAGCTGCGCGCGCATTCAGCCCGTCGCATAGGAAAGCATTATCAATGCTTTCCTATGGACGCTTGCGTGCTCTCACTGTGAAAATCACAGTGAGAATCACGCAAGCGCCTCTAGTGGCTGTCAATGAGACAGCCACTAGAGGATTAGGGGAATCCTTAACCCATTAATAAACATAGCAGTTTCTCTGAAACTGCTATGTTTATAAAAAAAAATGGGTTAACCCTAGCTGGACCAGGCACCCAGACCACTTCATTAAGCTGAAGTGGTCTGGGTGCCTAGAGTGGTCCTTTAATCATCACAAACCAAATAACATTTTCTTGGTATTTTAAAAACATAAAATATTTGATCACATGTATCTTAATATAATATACATGTAATGGTATGAATGTTGAATTTATATTGTTGACATCTTTTCACCTGTTCAAATTCATCATGTATATCACCTGGAAGGGTTAATCCATAATACTCTTTTATCTTCCATTGACCTTAGCTCTGGCAGACTGGACATATTTATCATTATATACAAACATAAAGATAAAGCACCGCGTTTACAGCAGCAGTAGCTTAGTATCCAACAGCTCAAAATACATAGTAAAAACAAAAAGAACGTTACCTGCTCTCTGGCCTAAATCTCAATGTACATTTAAACAAATTGGAGGCTCTTTAGTTTTATTCCAATGGTCATTTGAATATAAATTCACCTGCCACGTCAAGGCAAGCCCCAAAAGGTGAGTCCTACTCTAGCCATTAGATTTGCTGATATCAGCCAAGAATCTCCAGTGAGACAGGAAGGGGTATTTTATAAAACCTTTCACATTTAACCCCTTTATAGGGCTTCTACACATACAATAAACTTTGCTGGTATCAGACAAAGTGTAAACATCTCTAATGAGACATAAAGGGGTGTTTTATAAACCCCTACATACAGGGACGTATTAGCCGCAAGGCAAACAAGGCATTTGCCTTGGACGGCATTTTTCAGGGGTCGGCAAAAAACGCCGCCCCCCAAATGCCCAGGGCAAATGCCTTGTTAGCCTCGCGGCTAACAGACATGCCAGGCTGGCGGGCTGCGCTGGCTGATGGTCGGGCGGGCAGCTGGTGAAGGAGCACTTCCTCTGAGTTGACTGCTCTGCTCCCTCGCGCACCGCAGAGTGAGGCTTGGAGCCGGGTTGAGGACGTCATATTCCGGCTCCCAGCCTCACTCTGCGGCGCACGAGGGAGCTGAGCAATCAGCTCAGAGGAAGTGCTCCCTCGCCAGCCGCCTGCCCCAGCGCCGCCCGCAATCCCATCAGCCCGACCGGCAGCCACTGGACCACCAGGGAGAAAGAGGACCCCCCCAGCATTCCCAAAGGGCAGGAGGCTGGGGGGGGGGGTTAAATAAAAAAAAAGTGTTAATGTGAGTGATTGTGTGTGTGTGTGTGTGTGAGTGATTGTGTTTGTGTGTGTTTGTGTCTGACTGTGTGTGTGTGTGTTTGTGTCTGACTGTGTGTGTTTTTGTCTGACTGTGTCTGACTATGCATGTTTGTGTGTGTGTGTGTGTGTCTGACTGTGTGTGTGTTTGTGTCTGACTGTGTGTGTGTGTCTGACTGTGTGTGTTTGTGTCTAACTGTGTGTGTCTGTCTGTGTCTGACTGTGTGTGTGTGTGTCTGACTGTGTGTGTATGTGTCTGACTGTGTCTGTGTGTTTGTCTGACTGTGTGTATCTGACTGTGTGTGTGTGTGTGTGTCTGACTGTTTGTGTGTGTGTGTCTGACTGTGTGTATTTAGAAGGTGGGGTGGGGGGGCGCCTGAGTTTTGTCCTGCCTAGGTCAGCACAAAACCAGGATACACCACTGTCCACCTTTTGTCGGTTTCCTCTTTCCTGCGTGTTTTGGGTATGACACCTGTGACAGTATGCTTGTATAATCATTAATTGTGATAAAGCAGCTTTTATTTAGGTGCCATATAGTAAAGGTAAAATAGAGAAATGAAAGGTAAGTAACTACATGTTTTATTTATTTATTTTTCCTCAGAGGAGCAATAGTTTCTTAGATTTTTGTTTAGTACCCGAAACAATAATCTGATTTGAATGTAACTACCATCTAGCTGTCACAATTTTAAGCATATTGCTAGGTAGATACACTTATGCAAATGACTTCATTATGGGTCTAATCTGCTCATAATAAATCTGTAAAACTAAACTCTGTGCCAGCTAAATGGCTAGTGTGATTGTAGTCACCATCACTGGAAACTTATATACTCTGCCCTTTCCTCTGGCAGTTATCCCTTTTGACAGTTAACATGTTTGCCTCCATTTTCCCCAGAGTTGCTCCACCTTGAGCTTGAATTATGTGTGATTGGGTTTGCTGTTGGGAGTCATGTAACTGTAGATTTTTATATGTCTGACGCCTCTTGGGGTTTCCCAGATGTTTCATGTGTCTAAGTCACCCAGTGCCCATTAGAGGTGCAAGGTGCGTGTATTATAGTTAGGTTATTGTCATATCTTGTGTGCTCCTATGCTCTCTACCAACTAGGTGGATATAGCTGTGGAGCCTATGCAGTGCCACCTGTTGGTTGTAAAGATCTTGAGCCATTTATGTGCACTACCTAAACCGCAAGGTTTGTTAGTTTGCATATTCAGGTAGATTTGCTAATATTATATTTTTTGACAGTGTTTATCTTGATAGTGTTTATCTTCCTCACCTTTTTTATGAATATTGTATTGTTGTATGAGTGGCTGTATGATTTCACACATGATTATGTTTTATGTATTGGGTGAGTGTGTCACCATAAGTGTGATGTAACACGGATAGGAGTTAGTCCTGAGTGTAAAAAAATAATAATTGTGTGCTAGTTCCATTGGGAACGTGCCCTGTCTGGTTTGTTTGGGGATTTTTAGTAACAGAGTTTTAAGACTTGCTGGCCAGGTTGCTGGCTGCACTATTCCCTGGTTTCTTGGGATGTTTTAAGAAAGAGCTGGACATGAGAGCCACAAGTGCCTTTGTAAAGGCAGTAGTTGGGGAGAGTGCAGGCAGAGTGATCGATAACTGTTTGGGACAAGGAGACACAGGCAGAGGGGATAATACCTTCCTGGAAGGAGAGAGAACGTCCAGGAAAAGAGAACTATAATGACTTGTCCAGTGGAAAAAGTCTCCACAGACCCCAGTCCAGCGCTCCAGGGTCTCTTGGTGGCAGTGAGGAAGCTGACCTAACAGACGTTCTGAGCTCCATTATAACTAGAAAATCTAGTTCAAAATTTTATAAAAATAAAATGTTTACCTCAAATCTAAATCTCCACTACCCAGCCCTATTTTGTTGCAAAGATTAAAAAAATATATCTAATTATTGGCATTATAAGGACTACTAAAAAGTTTGGGTTATAAAGAAAATGTGTCTGTCATGATTATATCTGCAGTTTCTATATTTTACTTTATTGATGACTGAGTCAGTGAGTAGATCCCAACAAAGCAGGGGTCCAGCAGCCCACCGTCTTCACAAGCTACAACCGGTATCTACTTTGAGATTCAGTTTATAACTTCCATTCATCAGGTATCCTCTGCAATATTTTTTGGAATATTTTATCTTTGGAACAGATTTGTAGATGATGTCAATTTAGGCACACATGGATCTGAGCAGCCACACAGCTATGAGTTATTTGTTGTTAGTGTCTGTTGGTTATTCAGCTATCACAATGTGTATATATAAGCTGATTAAATAGGTTTTAAAGAAGCTATACCACAATTAAAACATTTTACAATAAGTATCTATCTCTTTCCCTCCATATGGTTGTTCTATGTTATCAGATTTCCAATTATCTGTTCCATATCTTCTACATATTTCATGTAATTTGTTATTTTAAATCTATAATGATAAATTAATTATATTTAATATATTATAATATTAAATGTGATAAGAAGGTTTGTTGAAAAAAGATTTGTAAATAAGTTTGTCTGTGTTTTTTTCCAAGGCTACAAACCTTTGGTTTTAGATTGATATATTGATTCTAATGAGCCTTAAACCAAGTTAGGCCTCACTTTAATATTTTTGGAGAAAATTTTTAAAATATTTTTTTAAAATATCAAAAATCTATATCATATAAAAAATATATCAAAGAATATGAAAATATAAAAAAATATTTTTCAAAATATTAAATCATTTGAAAAGCATATCCAAACATCTTAAATTGAGGTAAATGTTTGCAGTGTTAGTTCACTTCCTTGTTGAGTGTGGACAATGAGTCACTTCTACCCAACACTGACTGTGTGACTGTCTGTGTGAGTGTGTGACTGTCTGTGTGAGACTGTGTGATTGTCTGTGTGAGTGTGTGACTGTCTGTGTGAGTGTGTGACTGTCTGTGTGAGACTGTGTGATTGTCTGTGTGAGTGTGTGACTGTCTGTGTGAGACTGTGTGACTGTCTGTGTGAGACTGTGTGACTGTCTGTGTGAGTGTGTGACTGTCTGTGTGAGACTGTCTGTGTCTGTGTGAGACTGTCTGTGTGAGTGTGTGACTGTTTGTGCGAGACTGTGTGACTGTCTGTGTGAGACTGTCTGTGTGAGACTGTGTGACTGTCTGTGTGAGACTGTGTGACTGTGTGAGACTATGTGAGACTGTGTGACCTTTCTCTGTGTGAGTGTGTGACTGTCTGTGTGGGGCCTGTGTGTGTGAGACTGTGTGACTGTCTGTGTGAGACTGTGTGTCTGTCTGTGTGAGTGAGTGTGTGACTGTCTGTGTGAGACTGTGTGACTGTCTGTGTGAGTGTGTGACTGTCTGTGTCTGTGTGTCTGTGTGAGACTGTGTGACTGTCTGTGTGAGTGTGTGACTGTCTGTGTGAGACTGTCTGTGTCTGTGTGAGACTGTCTGTGTGAGTGTGTGACTGTTTGTGCGAGACTGTGTGACTGTCTGTGTGAGACTGTCTGTGTGAGACTGTGTGACTGTCTGTGTGAGACTGTGTGACTGT